GAACTGCCACAACCCCAGACCCCACCGGTGACCCCCAACAACTCATGCCTCAGTCCAAAAAATCAAAATAAACCCTTGCTGCTGGCGCAGCCGCCCGGCGAGGAGCCGGCTGGGTTGTTTTTGCGGAGGATGGATGAAGGGGCGCGGGAAGGGTGAAGCCCACGGCGTAACGGGGGTAAACCCCCTCTTTTTTTTGGCAGGACTGGGGGATCGCCCCGCAGGGGTACTCAGCCTACTACTGCGAGGGGGAGTGCGCCTTCCCCCTGGACTCCTGCATGAACGCCACCAACCACGCCATCCTGCAGTCCCTGGTCAGTGCCCCGGGGAGGGGGCTCCGGGGGACCCGCCGGCGCGCGGCGGTCCCGAGGGAGAGCTGGATTTGGGGCTGAGCGCGCCTGGCTTTGAGAGTGCTTAGCTGGGAGGGTGCAGTTTAGCTCCAGCTCCCGGTAAAGCACCGGTGGGTGCGCGCACGTCTGGGTGGGCGCTCCCCTCTGGGTGGGCAGCGTGTCACCCGTGCGTCCTCCTTGCCGGCCGCGCACGCGGGTTTCATCCGAGGTCCCACGAAGCGCCGCTGTGGCTCAGCGCCCAAACGTCGGGCTCAGCGCGTTCTAAGCAGGAAGGCTTTAATGCCCCGTTTTTCCCAAAGCCACCCCGCATCCCAGCCCGTGCTTTAATTTCTGGAATTTCCTGCCCTGTGAGTGTTTGATTTCCCAATGGCAGAGTCTCACCGGCTCCGGAGTTCGCGGTTAATTACAGGGAGCGCCGAGTCCTCGGCCGAGCCTTTGAAGGTGTTGCCTGGCGGGGTTTAATTTTTGCATTGACAAAGCTGCCAGAGGCCTCGTCCGGGGCTGGGCACGACCCTGGCAGCAACAGGGAGGCATCCCCTTCCCCCCTGCACCCACCCATCACCTCTAAACCCAACACTCTTCCCGAAACGGAGCCGTTTGGGCAGGATGTGAATCACCTGGCGCCTGGAGCCGGCCCTTCTGGGAAGCGCTGGGGCAAACACGGCCGGGGAGCGATGCCAGTGCTGCAAATAGCAGGCTTTGACAGCAAAAACACCGGACTTCCGACCTAGGAGAGCTCGGCTGCCCCTGCGAGAAATTAATCGCACATGTTGGGTAAAGCCAAGGGCTGCGTGCGGCCGGCAGCCTGCGAGCCTCCCGGCGAATTACTGGGATGATGTCCGTCCTGAGCAGGGGATGAATGAGCTGAAGGAGGTTCAGGTTCAGAAAAGCCTTGTGTACTTAAGATTTTAGTGCCGTACCTTAGATTTGGGGCAGCGCTGAGCCCTGGAGAACCTCTGTTGCAACAGCATCCCGCACCCCCCACCCACGTGGGGCTGAGACCGGCGCTGCCCTGATTTTTTTTTGGTTTGTTGGGGTTTTTTTAGCTATTTGCCTATTTACAGTGAGAAAAGAGCCCAGAAATCCAAAATTAATGAAGGGGTTGCCCAGCCCACGCGGTACCACAAGCCCCAATCCAACATAAACTGCAGCAAGGACTTGCCCAGAGCTCAGAATAAATATTTTTGCAAGAAGCTGGAAATAATCTCCCTATTCACCCAGACTTTTTGCAGTTAAGAGTTGGTTTGATGGGGTTTTTTTTTTCTTCCACCCGGAGCCGCTTTCACAGGCGCTCACGGGCTCCATCCATCCCCCAGGTCCACCTGATGAAGCCTGAGGCCGTGCCCAAGGCGTGCTGTGCCCCCACGAAGCTCAGTGCCACCTCCGTCCTCTACTATGACAGCAACAACAACGTCATCCTCAAGAAGCACCGCAACATGGTGGTGAAATCGTGCGGCTGCCACTGACGGCCGGGTCCCATCCCTGAACGTCCCGTCCCATCCCCGCCGGAGCAATGTGACACAGGGTTTCTGCTGCGCGTGTGGAAAAGGAGTTCCAAGGGCTGCATCACAGCAAAGACCATGAATAATAAATCATAAAAATAAATCCCTCCCTCCCCTTCCTAGAAATGGATGTAAATAATATAAAATTTTTATTCTCTTACTACACTTAATGAAACACGTACATATTATACACACACACATATATATATAGGAAAGAGAGGATTTGTGGCTGGTTACGTGTCTGTCTGGTCCGCGGCTGATGTTTTCCCCTCGCGCTGCTGCCGGCTCTGGTGTTTGCAGAGGCAGTTTGGGCTGAAGGGTAATGAAGACAAGGGAGGTGGCATCCGAGTTGCCCTGGGATTGAGCTGGTTCTAGCCATATATATCTAACTCACTCCCCTCTAACCAGCGCTTTTAATTCCCTTAACGAAAACACCATCAGCCAATTAAGTAGCTGGCTGACTAACCAGCTCCTGTTTACTTAAAAGTTCACAAAACTCAGCCAGTTGGGGGGGGTGTGGAAATCCATACTGAGCTATGACACTATTATAAAATAAACGCCTAGTTTGGAAAGTAAATACGTAGTTTCTCTTGCTGTTTGTTTTTTAATAAATGTCACAGCACAGCAGCGCTCTGTTCAGCAGACGGGATTTCGCAACGAAAAAAAATACTTGGGATCGGCTAAAATTGTACCTATTTGCTTGAAAATAAGCTGTGATGTGAGGTTTAGGTCAGGCTGTGTCTCCCCGGCCACGCTCACCAGTGGATGCGTCCCCTGGGCTCCCGACGGGGCTGTGGCCGCAGCAGCTTCCCTGTGCTATTTGCACAATTAAGTTATTTATTTGCTCTGATTTTAAAGGAAAGGGCCTGGCCTGTTTCTCAGTTTGGGTACCCGGGGAATCTTGCGTCACTAAACAAATAACGAACCTGGCTTAGCCAAATGCAAAGGAAAAAAAACCCCAATAAACCCACCAAAAAGTCTGCGAGGATGGCGAGCACCGAAATAAGAAAGATCCACTCCCTGCCCATGCCCAGCTTCCTGAGAAAAGGTCTTGCCTCTTTGGAAAGGCTTAATCTGCTGACTAATTCCACACGAAATCCAGCTCGGGCTGCGATGACAGCAACGCGGTGCCTTCTGTGCACAGAGCGTCCAGGGTTTCTATCGAGTTTGGAAATTAACCCTTTTCCTACAGCTTTATAGCTTCTTATTTTTCTTCTTCTATCACCCAAGGGGCTTCTTAATTCCCTGGTGCTTCTTGTCCAGACCTTGTTCTCCCACTGACACATCCCAGTAAATGCCCTCCCTCTCGGATGGAGTTGGACCAGGCTTGCTTCCCAGCGGGACCTGCCCCCCTCTGCTGATGGGAAAGGGCACTACAGAGCCAGGGACACAGCAAAAATGCCTCCACGAGATTCTGCTGTGGAAAAAGCATGAGATTTGGCTCTGCTCTTCTTGCCCCAGCAGGAGCAGCTTCCCCTGGAGCCAGGATATAGGCACCAGATTTGAGAAGATGAGGGCAAATGCAAAAAAAACCCAGAACAATAAAAAAAACCCCACGCATCTTTGCTCAAAAGCAAAGACCATCCTCACCCAGTGAGAATTCATCAGCCAGGGTAGGTCCTCAGTATTTTTAAAACTAGGTTTTATTTTTACCAAACTTAAAGTCTTTCTGGAACACAGCAGTAGAACTAGCCCTGCCCTGCTCAGGGCAGCACGCAAGGGCACAGGCTGGGAAGCGATTTATCCTCGGGTGGGCCAGACCCCCGCAGCACGGTCTGCAGGCACGTTCATGCCACGCTTGGTGGGGGAATTTCGACAGAAGCCACAGGAGCTGGACACTGCTGGGGGGGCGCAGGGCTGTCCCACCCCGGCTGGCTCCCCGGCCGCTCCTGGCCAGGCTCACCCCATCCCGCCTCCTCCAAGAGCCGAGCTCACGGGCACTCCCCGCAGTCCGAGATAATCACCTTCTGCTTCGGTTTCCCATCTTTGGTGCCCTGAGCCTTTGAGAGAAGAAAAAAAACAGGAATTAAAGGCACGAAGTCCGAGGGCAAGAAGGAGGTCGGCTCTGCCCCGACCACCCCAATGCTGGCACCTACTTCAATCTGCCGCACCACGTCCATGCCCTCCGTCACCTCGCCGAACACCACGTGCTTCCCGTCCAGCCAGTCTGTTTTATCACAAGTGATGAAGAACTGGGAGCCGTTGGTGTTTGGGCCAGAGTTTGCCATCGATAACAGCCCTGTGATCAAAAAGTGTTGTGTTATGGCCGGGGAGGGAGCGATGAGCTCCAGCACATGAGCTGCTACTTCAACCCAAACCCATTCCCATGCTCTGCAAAACACCGCAGTGTTTGGGGAAGCCTCTGAATATTAAACTCCACAGAAACTGGTGGAAACCAATTATGCTGAGAGAGAAGCACTTGCAAGCATGGAAGATGGAAAGGGGTGGAGACTGCTCATCTATTTTCAGTTGCACTAACAGAAAAGGTGTTTGCATGGAGATAAACCTGCTTGCTTTTTGCTGCTTTTCATAGTCACACTGTGACTTTCCTCCTTAAAATCAAACAAGGAAGCAGCTTTGAAGTGCTTTCTCCATTACGTAATGCTGGAAGTTAACAGCGCGTGGATAGAGCGCGAACGATGCATTTCTGCTTGCCGAATGCTGGTGATGCGCAACAGTCTGACCGCGGCAGATTACACCACGGCAGAAGCATTTGGCCAATGCAGATTATAATTAGTAGGGCTTAGATTATAAACAGTAGGGCTGCTACTATCAACACGGTCTAGGTCAAAACAGCCCAAGTGCGGCGCCTAGATGATATTGAGCCGTTTTGCTCTCCAGCCCCTGCCTGCTGAGATGGCTCTACCTGGCCCCGTGTGTTTGAGAATGAAGTTTTCATCATCAAACTTCTTCCCGTAGATGGATTTGCCTCCGGTGCCGTTGTGGTTGGTGAAGTCGCCAGCCTGGCACATGAACTGGGGGATGATACGGTGGAAGCTGCTCCCTTTGAAGCCGAAACCTTTCTCGTGGGTGCAGAGACAGCGGAAATTCTCTGTTCGGGGGCAAGGGGGAGAGAAGTGAGAGCTGCATCGCAGCTGGAAGCCTCCGCGCTGGGGAGGCTGACCCCCTCCTCACCTACGGTCATGGGCACCACATCTGAACGCAGGAGGATCTGCAGCCGCCCCGCAGGTTTGTTTCCAATCTTGATGTCCATGTAAACCTGAGGGTTGACCCGGGATTTCTTGGCAGGAGGCTCACCCTTGGCAGGAAAAGAAAAGAACAAGTTGACATGACATTCTTCTGTTCTGCCTCCAGAGACGGCTGGCCTTCAGGACAGCAAGGATACAGATAGCTCCAGCTGTTCTTCCTACCTCCTGCACCTCTGTTTTGGGGGCCTCTGCTCCTGCCTCCTCTGTGTTCTCCTCCAGAGTCTTCCCCGAAAACTTCTTCAGCCAGTCGTCATCTGACCAGACTGCAATGGCAAAAGGAAGGGTCAGAGCACAGGAACCGAACTGAAGGGCCACGCGTGAGCACACACGCAGCTGCATGGGTCAGGGCACGGCACGCCGCTGGCAGCAGATCACACCTGAGATATGGGAGCACTTGGCCAGCAGCAGACAACCCCGAAAGCCACGGCGTGTGGGGAAATAAGGGACAAAGTCACCTCTTCTTCCTCCCAGAGGTGCCACATCCCCGGGCAGAGCAAGCTCATGGCCTGTTCCCTGCAACTACCCCCACGCAGAGCAATTGCTCAGCATGGCCTAGGTCCCATCTGCTTTTACAGATGTGGCCAGATGTGTGGGTAAGTTTGCCTGGCATGTGAGTGTATGCATGCTGTGCCCTCTGTCAGAGGGCATGAAGGCTACTAGAATTTCCATCCAAAGAACTGGGGAATATTTTTGGTTATTTTGGTTATTAAGTTATTCGGTTATTAGGATGCTGCTCAGATCCTCGAGACCCCCAAATGGGAGGCAGAGCAGAGGTCCTGCCTCAGGGTCTGGGAAAGCAGAAAGGCTGATGCACAAAGCGCTGAACATCCATGGGGTTGTTCTCCCCTCCCAGGCACCAACTCACCAGGCCTGGATGATCCTTCTTTAATTCGCATTGGTTTAGCCAAGTTCACACGAATTGTCCTGCCGAAGAGCTCAGACTCGTTCTGCAGAGGAAAAAAGAGCAGAACAAAGCCCACCAAATGGAAAAAAAGAAAATCACTGTGCCCCCCAAATCCCTGCAAAGGACAGAGGAGAACAGAGCTTGTTTTCTCTATGTAAGCCACGCGTCTCTGCAGGCGAGCGGGAACAGGGTCCGTACCATGTTATCAATAGCTGCTGCCGCATCCTGCCAAAAAAGTGAAAGAAAATCATTATTACCATTTCTTTTCTCCCCACCTTGAAAAACAACGCTCAGCCCATACGTGTCCCAGCATTTCGTTGCAAAGAAAGATTGCCAAAGGACTGTTTTCCTAAATATCATCTGCCCTAGGACTGTAAAAACCAACGGATCTTGCAAGAGCCGTATCCACATCAGTATCTGGGGTTCATCTTCCCACAACCAATCCCGTAAAGTCATTTTATGCAAGATGCTTTATCACTTCCACCAATATTTGAGAGAGGAGGAGAGTTCTCGTGTAGGAAGGCCAGGACAGATTATAAGACTGCAAATGTATGACAGCCTGGGGACAGCAGGAGAGCAGCTTAGGCCAGCAGCGGCCGTGCTTCAGCCCGGAAGAAAATGGGAAAAGCGGGAACTCTGCAAGGCGGAACGGCGTCTCCGGCTGCGACCGCCCCCCCCCCCTGCCGCTCCCGCTTGCGTCCACCGGCTGCAATACTGCTGTCCCCAACGGGAAGAGGATCCAGGCCAAAAACACCAGGGGAGGAAGAGGAGGCCCAAGCGGCTCAAGCATTTGCCCCTTTCTCACCTCTGCCAGCTCGAACTCAATGAAGGCGAATCCCCGGTGCTTTTCTGGAGAGGGGAGAGAAGCCAGCGGTCACGGGCAGCAGAGACACGCCGGTCCCACGGCGACCCAGCAGCGGCGGGGTCCCGTCCGGCCCGGGAGAGCTCCCTGCCCCGAGCGCCACGCACCCGTCTCGTAGTCCAGCGGGATCTGGATGTCGGTGATGTCCCCGAAGGGGATGAAGGCGGCGTGCAGCACCTTCTCGTCCACCTCCTCCGCCAGCCCG